GGGCGTGTGTGCTCATCAGACAGACAGAGAGAGACATAGAGACAGAAAGTGAGAAATCACCCCCAGAGGGGATGGTCATGCCGCAATCCCTTCTCCTCCATTCTCCTCTCGGGATCTTGGGCATGCACGCACACGTGCCCGGCGTGAGTTCTAAGCCACATGAGGTCCGGGACGCGAACCGCGGTCGACCACGTGGGAGTCCAGCGACATAGCCATTACGCTAATTGCTGGTTCCCTATTCTAACCATTTTTAAGTATACAGTTCAGTGGCATTGATTTCATTCCTACTGTTGTGCACCTATTGTTAAGTGCCTTTTAAAAAGCATAACAGGCACAGCTGCTCTGGCACATTGGTAACCCAGAGCTCTGCAATGATGGAAGCCATATGGAGAATTGGGGGTTAGTTCTTAGGTCGACCTGTACTTGCCAGGCATTTGCCCAGGATCCTGGCTGAAAGGCTTTTGGGTGATAATAGCACGAGAACCCTGTTGAGGGTGCTTACCATTTTCTATCTCTTTCTCTCTCTTTCATGAAAGGAAGAAAAACTTGAAAGATAATGAAGGTCATGTAGAAACAAAGGGAAATGGTCGAAGCAGTTTTGTAGTTTACCGTTTTCTTGTTTCATTGAGCATATTGTTACATGAAGATATGTAATATACAGGTAGAAAGCGGATGGGATGTGCAGAGATGGTAGTTATTCTAGGTTTTGTTTGATTTTGTGCATGAGTCACTAAAACAACACCAGTGATTTACCTGGGATTGAAGCTCAAGGTCTATTTTGCTAGTTTCCAAGACTGAAAGGAGCACTGTCTGTAAGTAAAGGGTGTTGGGATGCAGAGACTAGTATGCTTAGGAGGAGGGCAGGCCTTGGAAACATGCTGGAGAGAAGGAAGAATCTGACCCAAGGTTCTTGGAGACAGGGAAGTAAGAGAACAGATAAGGGTGGATGCTACAAACCATTAAGCTCTAGGTCTTACTGGCGTTTCACTTGGAGCTCTGGTGATTGGCCGTGTCTCCGCAGTGCCTGTGAAAGTCACGTGTGTGCTGTTTCGAAGTAGCTACTGAGTGTTGCACTGATGTGTTGCTCAGTCGTGCTTTCTGAAAGAAGTATTTGTGAACCAGCTCGGGGCCCAACTATGTATGGGGTCTTCAAAAAGTTACAGGCAAATATATATAGAGAAAAACTATGCAGGGATTTCAGATATTTTTGGCATTAAGTTCATACTTTTCATTGGAAATATTAGTTTTTTCCGTAACTTATGGGAGTCCCTTTGTATAGAGTAAATGCTTTTATTTATTTATTTTTTGCGATAAAAATGTCTCAAGTTAAACTGAAATCGATTATTTTAAAACAGGGATTGATATTTTGGTGAATAATGCCAGTGCTATAAGCTTGACCAACACCTTGGAAACACCTACAAAGAGAGTGGATTTGATGATGAACGTGAACACCAGAGGCACCTACCTTACGTAAGTTAGAAGGAAGAGTTCCGGAAGAGGAGGATGTAATGTAATGTTTTCTTAGAGAATCTACGTAGTTGTAAACAGATTTGGGCCAAATTAGCAGTACCGTTTTGAATTTGGTCCTTTTTTAAACTTTAATCTTTTTAAAATTTTGCTATAGGGTACATGTACTCACTAGGGAGAAAAAAAGTGAGAAATCAGCCCCCAGTGATATGTCCATACCAAAATCTCTTCTCCCTATTCTCCTTTTGGGATTTTGAGCATACATGCACGTATACCCGGTGACAAAAACTACTCTACAGTTAACTAAGGAAGTTCAGTTGTTCTTTTCTTTTTTTTTTTTTTTTTGAGAGATTTTCACTATAGGGCGCGTGCGCTCGCCAGACAGACAGAGAGAGACATTAGAGACAGAAAGCGAGAAATCACCCCCCAGGGGGGATGGTCACGCCGCAATCCCTTCTCTTCCATTCTCCTCTCGGGATCTTGGGCACGCACGCACACGCGTCCGGCGTGAGTTTTAAGCCACCGGGTCCGGGACACGAACCACGGTCGACTACGTGGGAGTCTAGCGACATAGCCATTACGCTAACTGCTGGTTCCCGTAGTTCAGTTGTTCTTAACAGTAATTTGGGATAGAACTTAAAGAAGTGGAGATGCTAGAAAGCTATTGACTTGACTTGTGTTTTCTTTTGCTTTCAGATCTAAAGCATGTATTCCTTATTTGAAAAAGAGTAAAATTGCTCATATCCTCAATCTCAGCCCACCATTAAACCTAAATCCAGTGTGGTTCAAACAGCACTGTGGTAGGTAGTAGGATGAGGGTGGGGTTTGTCAAGTTAGTTTGTTTTGAATTAAATCAGTGTGTCTGTGATGTAATCACAACCTGTATGTAGCACTCGACATTAAGTTTTCTATGTCTAATCAGTAAGTAGCATTTGGGAAAGTAGATTCTTAATCTTTATCTGTAGTTTCCTAAATTGAAGTATAATTTACGTGTGGTAAAATGTACAGATCTAAATGGTTCAGTCTGCTGATATTTGACAAATGTACCTACCTGTATAACTAGTGCCCGAATCATGATGCAGATTCCCATGATCCTGGAAAGCTCTTTCATGTTCTTATGGATTACTTTTATTGTATGTCATCTATTCTTTACTAAAGTTGGTTACAAATGCTCTAAGAAATATTCTTTTTCTTTTTTTTAGTAGAGGTTTTTGCCTTAGGACATGTATGCTCATGTGAGCGAGAGAGAGAGAAACAGAGACAGAGACCATGAGAGGGAAAGTGAGAAAGCCCCTCCTGGGAGGGATGGCCACGCTGCAATAACTTCTCCATTCTCCTCCTGGAATCTTGAGCATACATGCACACGTACCCAGCATAAATTTCAAGTCACTGGATCTGGGACTCGAACCGTGATCGGCCATGTGGGAGTCCAGTGATGTATTGCTACACCATCTGGCCTCTCTAAGAGATATTAGTTACTTTTGGGACCAGCAGTTAGCGTAATGGCTATGTCGCTGGAATCCCACGACCGCGGTTCGCATCCTGGACCGGGTGGCTTAAAACTCACGCCGGGCGCGTGTGCGTGCGTGCCCAAGATCCCGAGAGGAGAATGGAGGAGAAGCGATTGCGGCGTGACCATCCCCCTAGGGGGTGATTTCTCACTTTCTGTCTCTGTGTCTCTCTCTGTCTGGCAAGCGCATGCGCCCTATAGGGAAAAGCTCTCCAAAAAAAAAAAAAAAGAAATATTAGTTACTTTTCATAGCAGTCTAATGATTTAAGGGAGAGTGTGTTAAGAAACAAGATTTATGTATAGGAGTCTCCTTTAAAATAGTTTTTATCAGATATTTAAGTTTTTATTTTGACCTGATTTCCTAATATTTAGAAAGGTACTTAGAATGGCAACTCACAGTTCAAAACTAAAAGAAGTTCCTTTTTTTTTTTTTTTGGAGAGATTTTTGGTATAGGGCGTGTGCACTTGCTGGAGAGACAGAGAGAGAGAAAACAAGAAATCATCTTCCAGGGGGGATGACCACACCAC